AAATCTGACAGCTATATTACAGTCAAGTCACAAGTCACAAGAATAGCGAATGGATTCCGACTTCAGTACAAGTCCAGGGACTCGAGCCTACAACGCTGCCCATTAGCGTCATATGGTGCCAGCCCCCCCCCCTTAAGCGAACGTTCACTTTTGATCAATAAGAGTTCATCTCACTGCTTAAGTTTTAGCTATAATCACTTTAAATACGTTTCTTGAGGGAATCTTAAAAGATCACTGAGTTTAATTTGACGAGGATGGAGTACGAGATGTGTGCTTTTCAGGCTTTATTCCTAGAAACTTAGACCATTCCTTGAAGCCAGTGGTAATCGAACACTAATGTAGCGTACTTACCAGTCAAATCAAAATATTTTGATTGGAATGGAATTTGTTCCTTAATTAAATTCTTACGCCTAGCGAGTCACCATGGCTGAGTTCGGGTGGCTTGTTCTCGTATGTTCACGAACAGCTCGATTTGTTGTTCGTGGGTCGGCTGCTCGAACGCCGGGAAAAAACAACCGGTTACCGATGGTAGTTAGTAACAAGCAACATGCAACATGGCTGCGTCCATGTAGGCTATGTTATTCGCGAGTTAATGTTTGGATGGGCTGAATTCTTTTCTATATAAACAGGAACATTCATTTCTGTGTTACGGAAAATAATCAATGTTAATTTAGCAAAACGTCCCATTGTCTATGGCTTTGGAAGCCTGCTCTCTACTTTTTGCAGCTGTTCAAAAATCAAAATCTCACGTGTTTTTTCGTGTGTCCCTGTACAACCCTGACGAGGAGGTGGTGGTGTGATCCTGCTCCGAGAACAGTGTTCTTGAGTCGTGCTCCCGCCGTTCGAGAGCGAGAACTCGACCCATGAGTCTTGAAAGCATTATTTATGCAACTCTGTTTTTATATTGCAGCCGTGGAAAATAAATCTATTAGTCTCAATAAATATGATCTTTTTTTGGGGGGGGGTAGACAGTGATTTATTAATGTCTGTCAAGTTTTAAACTAAGGAAAATTTTTATATACATGAATAAGAATGGCGATATGATCCCGAGAAGAAAACCTTCATGTTACATTGATCTATGTCCAAATGATGTCGGGAAGTTGTGACAATGTTGCTGTCCTTCATTTGCTTTTACGCTTACTATACGATTTTTATATTCTTGTCCAAGAACATGTAAAAGGCAACAAGCAATCTTTTCTCTGATTTTTAAATGAACAAATTTGGGGTTCACACTTGGCACAGAAAAACGTAAAAACTGAGCCATGTCCTTCCTAAATGACATCACGCCTACAGCGCCCTCTCTTGTTGAAGAAAATTCACGACCAGTTTCAACATATAAAAAGGAATATAATAATACACTGAACTCCAAAAGAATCAAATAGTTTTTCTACATTTGTAGAACAATATAAAATTACATGAAAAGTTTTACTGTTAAAAAAAATATATATATAAATTAAAAAATCATCGGATCGAGTGTTGAAGTCACATTTGCGTCTGTCAACAGATATCTGTAGGGTACCATTAACAGATATCAGTTGCTCTGTTTGATGTCAAAATGGGGTTAGGGCTACAGAAATCAGTTTAATTATGCAGGTGAATGTGAAGCAACTAGCCTTACGTACCTGCATACACTAGCCTCGTGCCAGAGTGACGTGGGCAGGTAGTGCGCCCCCATCGGACGTACGTGTCTCCCCCTGACGATCTCCTCGCCAGTGCTGTAACCTCCTGGTGTTCTGTAATGGTAGAAGTAAAAAGGCTGCATTTACCCTAAAAGTAAAAGGTCGGATTGTGGAGCCCTTGCTCGCCAACCTCTTTATATTTTACACAGGAACGCATTCTTATTGTTTTATTTTATTTTGGGGGGGCAGAATGATTTCTAGGAAAGCCACCCTAGAAATCCTCATGTCGGGTTTTCGTATCCTTGTTCTTTGAGTAATTATGAAAAAGTCAACCAGAGATAGGATAAAACAAATAAAAAAATTCCATCACTATCGTTCTTAGCTGTTCTTGTTCGTGCATACTTATGTTAATAGACAAGAATGATGCATGCAACATGGAGCATGGGATATACATGGCATCGTATTCCTTCAGAATGGCTACGCCAGCCTGATTTTTTTAATTAATATATAAATTTCTTTTTATTAGCAGGGGCGTATCCAGGGGAGGCGTATGAGGCACAAGAAAAAGAAGAAAAAGAGGGAGGGAGAACAAAAAAGAGAGGTCAAACTGACAGAGATTGCGCCACAGTGCGCCTAGGAATCCATTTCAATCCCAGAATCGCCTACGCGGGTCCCGAACCCAACGCCGTAAGGGCTTTGTGATACGCGTTCGCAGGCATTTTACCATTGTTGCTTTAAGTCACGCCCCAATCCCCCTTTGGAAAATCCTGGATCACGCCCCCTTTGAAAAATCGTTGATCCGCCCCTGAAAAGGACGGGAAAACTGCAAAAAGCTCTCCCAAATGGCATCCATTTTGAATGAAAGCATGCACCTTAAGGTGTCAGTGCAAATACATACTGGTGAAATGAGGCTGAAAGCTTGACTAGACGGGATTAAAAGACCTTTCAAAATGAGAAAGACTTCTTGCAACGGTCCAACGTTCATGGGGAGACTTTTAGACTCAAGTTTCTACTTTTTCAGAGCATTTCGCGTACCTTCACCTGCAGCATCCGGTTCGGACGAGAGAGCTGTATCTCGCAGTATTCCGTACGCAACAGCCACTTCTGTCTCCTGATTTTCTACATTGCCCGACTTGGAGGACTCCGGAATTCGAACATCGTCGGCAGTTTCGGAGAGGGGCTCCTCTGACGACATCCAACGATCTTCCTGAAGGACCACACGGCCCTGCGTACGAAGTTCAACCTTAGTTATGACGTTATGAACAAGTGCCCTGTCCAGCATTTATTTTGAATGTTTTTTCACAATTTATACTCAACTATTCGAGCGACGGAAAATGGCCACTAGAGTCACCTGACTGCAGGCAGATTTGATTTTTTTTACAGGATTTGAAAGCTTAAAATGATCGTGAGAAAGTATAGATATGGATCTTTGGTGCGTTGCTGGAAGTTATCACATCAGAGAGAAGTAAGGCATGAGTCACCCTTGAAAGGCGAAGTATTACTCTGTGAGGGAATGTCACATAATGAAACCATAAAACAACGATAAGACAGAATTGGAAAAGTAGAGAAGCGCTAAGATTATCATAGCGATAATAGCGCAGTGCTATGACTTACCGAGACCGAGATTGGATCATAGAGGCAACAGCGCAGTGCTATGACATACTGAGACCGCGATTGGATCATAGAGGCAGTAGCACAGTGCTATGAATTACCGAGACCGAGATTGGATCATAGAGGCAATAGCGCAGTGCTATGACATACCGAGACCGAGATGGGACCAGAGAGGCAATAGCGCAGTGCTAAGACATACCGAGACTGAGATGGGACCAGAGAGGCAATAGCGCAGTGCTAAGACATACCGAGACCGAGATGGGACCAGAGAGGAAATAGCGCAGTGCTAAGACATACCGAGACTGAGATGGGACCAGAGAGGAAATAGCGCAGTGCTAAGACATACCGAGACTGAGATTGGACCATAGAGGCGATAACGCAGTGCTATAACTTATCGAGACAGAGATTGGGTCATAGAGACGATAGCGCAGTGATATACTGAGACTGAAATGGGACCATAGAGACGGTGGCGTAGGGCTATGACTTACCGAGACAGAGATGCCAAGGCATAAATTCAGCAGCACTCCTGCCAGGATCCAGCGTCCGAATTTCTCGTTCCTCGCCGGGGTGCTCTTCCGCGTGAGAAACCTGCTACCGGCAATCATCGTTGGTGACTTCAGAGCCATGTTTGTACGGAGAACGAATCAGGTTTCAGTGATCCTGCCTACTCACGTTTCTCTGACAAACCAAACAAATGTTAAACCTTTTTCTCAAGATTTGACCAGGGATTTACATGTATATGGAATATATTCCTACGTTGTAAACAGTTTATGAATCTGAAATTCATTCGGTGCAAATCAAGGAATTTTTGTTCCAAGATAAGCCGAGTGGAAGGAAATTCGGCTT